CCCCTGGGATTTTGGCATGGATAGCCCTCATCTCAGGGAGGATAACTATGATGATCAGGTTTGACATGTTGGAAATGTGGAAAATTAATGAAGACGTTGAAATTTGCTGTGACTTGATAGTGTTACACGAGAATGGGATTAGACTCTAAGAAACAGAAGAAGGGAAGAAGGGCATAAAAGGAAAGGACAAGGGAAAGAAGGGAGGACCAGGCCAGTGGTCAAAGGCTCCAATTGCCTGGAATGGGACAGTTTGCTATCAGAGTATCTAAGAGCAAAGCAGGTGAGTCCTTTGTTATCCACAATGGGTGCTACCCACCAGCCATGTTAAGTGGCTCTAAAGACCCTAACGAAGGAGTACATATTATATAAACATAGGCTACAGGATTGTTTTTGTGTCTTAAGATAAACAGGAAGTTGTAGTTTCTCGTGTCAGCTTCAGCATATCCTGTTTGCTGAAGTAGAGTCTTTACACACCCCACTCCACCCCACCCCCGAATGGCACAGAGGTTCCTGCCTGCCAGACCTGTAGCTCAAACACTGATAATGCTCCAGTGTGAACCCAGCCTGGAAGGCTCAATGAAACAGGCCCGTGCCACCTCAGGGGGGAGATTTCTAGATCTCTGGTCACTGGGAAATAATACAGTGGTTCTCTTTAGAGGAAAACAATTTCATTGAATTTTTTATATTACTAAATATTGCTCCAGAGGTATCAATCTTCTGAGCATTAGAAATATCTGGAAACATCATCACAGTCTAGACATGAAAGGCTCAGCTCTCTAATGTTGGGGAATGCCTTGCCCAGTCAGTGCCCCTAAGATTTTAAGGTGCATATGGCTCACCTGGAGACGTCGTTTTAGAAAAGGATCGTAAGTCTGGTGACAGGACATTTCCACCAAAACTCAAGACAAGGCAAATTCTGTTGCATATAAGCAGTGACGTCACAGGTGCCTGGCCCACAGTGAGCCAATGCCCACAACTCAGGAGAGCTGCCCACGGCAGATGGAAGCCTGGCAGCGTGTACCCTGTTTGCTCTACAGCTGAGCAAGCACAGAGTACTGTGCTGTGGCTGCCGCTTGACTAGTGGGCACAAGCATAGTAGAACATGACGACCTGGGAGGCAAGGACACAGCCAAGATGCTGCCGATGCTCTCCTTAGCTCAGGATGTCCCGTCTTCAGTGTCTAAGACCTGCAAATGGGAGGAGAGAATCCTGTGAGCTACGGCCTCCTGGAGGCATGTCCTCTTGTACAACAATCTTGCAGTGGGCATGCAGGGTGGCCATGCCTTCAATGGCTATGATAGTGAGTTTTCCATGGGCTTCCTCTCTGTATTTGTTTTGTTTTGTTTGGCTTTTTGAGATAGAGCTTCTCTGTGTAGCCTGGCTGTCCTGGAACTCACTCTGTAGACCAGCCTGGCCTTGAACTCAGAGGTCTGCCTCCCGACTGCTGGGATTAAAGGTGTGTGCCACCACTGCCCAGCTAGGCTTCCTCTTGGTCTCTGCTAGTATGTTTTTCTGGATGAAAGTCTTAGTCTCGGCGCCTAGAGGGCAGCCACTGTAACCCCATCAGCATCACATCCTTGCTGCCTCATTAAGGAGAGCCATCAACACCCCAGTGAAATTTGTAGCAGCCATCCAGGAAGGTCATACCTGTCTTTGGTCTTGTGGGCACTCAACATGTCAGCTCCTATGTCCAGCTTTATCCATTGGGCTGTACTCAGCTCCTGAGCTGGAGTCTGACTCTGGGCACCATCTGCTGACTTCCTGCATCTCTCTGTGTCTCCTGCTCTAGGCACCTGAGGAGATGGAGCCACTCAAGTTTTGACGCCTGGAGCATAACTGTGCTGCAGATCACGGCTATCTGCTCGAACAGTTAGGCTGCCCTGAGTAAGAACTACCAAGAGTTCTCACTACTCTGGCTATGCAGGGAAAGGGTGTTCTACTCCTATAGCTCGGAGCTTTCCAAAGGCTCTCATCTGTCTTCTGATAGTTACCTGGAATGTTTGAGGCTGTCCTGTGAAAGAGAAAACAGCAGGAAACTTCAAAGGCCAAGTTCCACTGTCTAGGGATGGCTTCTAAGTGAAGCAAGGCAATGGATCCCATGAAGGAAGAGGCTAAGCAGTGTACACAAGGAAGCTGGATTAGGAAACTGACAATAAATAGCCAGTGAGGGCATGTCTACACTATTCCTTGATGTCTGTTCCTCTGTATTTGAAAACACATTACTTGTTGCTCTTTAAAATAGGGTGACAGTTCTCTTTAGAGAAAAGCACGTTAATTGAAAATTTTACAATTCTGATTTGAATCTCCTATAGTAAAGAGCATCTCTATATATTGGTCCCAGTGGTACCAATCCTCTGAGCACTAGAAATAACTGGAAACATAACCATCTAGATGTGAAAGGCACAGGCATCTATTCCATCAGCGCTGATGTTGGAGAACATCAGCCTTGCCCAGTGACTCTCGAACTTTAAAGTACATATGGATCACCTGGGGATCTTGTTAAAAAGTGGGTTCTAAGTCAGTGGGTTTAAGATGAGAACTGATTTAAGACCTAAAGTTCAGCAGCTTAACAAGCTCCCAGGCCAGGCTGACATGCATGCACGGAACTGAGTAGCACATGTCACACAACCGGTTCAAAAACTCAAAACGGGAGGTTAGGAGCTGAGGGAGACTAGCTCAATGCCCCAGGATGGCATAGCTCATGATAGCTTGGGAAGTGGCTAACGGCTTCATACCTCAGCTAACCCACACAAACACTCCATAGATCAATATTATCATCCGGCTAGAAAAGTGTGTGCACTCATTTTCTCTTGTTAATTTGACAAATAGTCATAAATGTCTATTTTTTACTTTTCAGATTTATTTACCTTTTGTATAAATGTTTTCCATCTACATAGATGTATGTATGTATGTATGTATGTATGTATGTATACCACGTGAATGTCTGGTGCTTACAGAGGTCAGCAGAGAACATAGGTGTTGGAAACTGAACCCAGGGCCTCAAAGTGAGCAGCAAATGCTCTTAACCACTGAGCCGTTCTAATCTAATGAGGTGCCTTATAAATTTACTTTAAAATGAATCATTTCTGCAGCTCAGAAGTTCTCAAATGAAGTGTGGGCAATCAGCTATGCTCCTTCTGGGGTTCTAGGGCCCCAGCATCCTTGCCAGGTAGCTCCTTCCTCTCTGTATTCAAAGCCTGCAATACATCACTCGGATACTTGGTCCTTCTTCGAATCTTACCATATTGGGGACATTTCTTTGTTTGAGAAGCTTAATAATTTTGAGTAATTTCCCTACATTAATGTTCGCCCTACATTAATGTTCATGTCAGGTTATTTATATAATAGAAGACCATATAGAGACACTTGCTTTAGTTCCAATAGGCTAAGAGCCCAACAGTCATACTTCTTACTCCATCTAGAAAAGGCTGGGCAAACAGCCCAATAACCGAGTTTGCCAAGCACACTGTCTCTTGAATTGGAGAGATGGGCAGATCCAGGGTCAAAAACAAGATCTACTTACAGGAAGCAGAAATGCTGGAGCCCTGGCCCTGTAGGTCACTGTAAGACCAAACTTGGTCTTAAGCGAGCCTCTTGCTTTTGCTGGCATCACCACTGGGAACCCTAGCAATTACTTATGGTAACCATCAGAGGGGAGTCTTCCTCGCTACATCATCAGTGAGAAGGGAGAGTGGTCTGTGTGGAATGTACCCAGAGCTTCCTTGAGTGGCTTTTGGCAGCTTGCAGTTGGCCCTAAGCCCAAGGAGAAGTGAATTCATCTCATGCCAGTCCCTTTTGCCTCTTCTCTCATGTTGAGGCATGGAAGAGCACATAGGAAGAGCACAGGCCATAGACTTAGGGCACCGGCTAGTAATCCTGAGATGTATTTGTAAGATGTAGAAACCTGCAGTCCCCAGGCCTCACACCACACCACCAGAGTTCCAGAGGGGAAAGGGCTGCCCCGAACAGGCTCTCTCAGGGGAGGTGACTAAAGGGAGCCCACAGTCAAGAGGGGAAACAAAACCAGAACACTGGAGGAATCCAAAGCCTCTGGCACATGCCGCCGCAAATAAATACAGCCCAATCAATTCGTTCAGCCATAGTAACACAAATCCTCACACTACATGCCAACGTATCTCAGTTCCTATTTTTCAGTGTAGCCATTACCTAATATGTGAGGCAGGCACCTGTAGGAGCCAACTCCTCCATACATGCAGGACAGTGCCATCACCTCTTAAAGAGTCGGCTGATACACTTTTAGGGTTGTTCTGTTCTTTACATTTCAGGTAAACTCTTTGGAGACGTTTAAAAGGAACAGCCAAGGTCACCAAGTAACTCTTAGTATTTGAAGTCCCTCTGCCTCTCCTTAGCCTCCCAGGTTCCTGCAATTTCCATGGAAGGCATTTCAGTGAGACACAGAGATTAGGGAAGAAAATGGGTAGAGTGTAATTCAGAGTGACCTGGAGTTCTCTTGGAGTGGACAACAGCCAAAGGGACCCACCCCCTCCCCAGTTGACATTTTAGGCCAGTGTTATCCTATTTCTTAAGCTTCCGGAGTAAACAGTTTTCCAGACAGACTTCTCCTGTCCAGGTAACTGGCCCATTTAGATTGACTCTTGCAGGAAGAAAAATGGTATGTTTTCATTCTTTATCAGAAATCCTCTTCCTATACATTGACCTCATAGGGGTTCAGGCCCCTGGAACCAGGTTTGATAGCTATCAATTAATTATATCTTGTCTCTTTCCAAGGCCAGAGTCAGGACTCTGAGCAGTAATTAGGGACCTGCTGCTCCTGGTCTTGCTTTGATGAGCAGCTATTCATGAGGGAAGGTTCCAGCATAACGTCCCCTCCTCCTGCTGATAGCTAACTATCTAACATGGGCTGATTATTTTAGGCAATTAAAGTAAATCTGACTCACACCCACAAACTTCTTATCCAACAGCTTCCCGCTTTGACCTTGAGCCAATCATGCTCAGGTTTACATTATTTTTCCTTCTTCAAAAACACAGACTGCTTCATGGATTTGCATGTCATCCTTCCACAGGGGATATGCTAATTGTTCTGCATTGTTCCAACTTTAGCATACATGCTGCCAAGACAAGCACTCATTTCTATTCCTCGTACCCACATGGTTCTTTCTCTCCCTTTCCTGCCTCCCTCCCTCCCTCTGACCCCCTACTTCCTCCCCCCCCTTCCTCCCTCCTTCCTTTTTTAACTTAATGTTTGTAGATGTTTTACCTGTATGGATATCTGTGTACCATGAGCATAGCTGGTACCTGCAGAGACCAGAGGATGGCATTAGAACCCCTTAGTGCTGGAGTTACACCGTGTGGGCACTAGGAATAGAGCCTGGCTCCTCTTGAAAGAAGCCCGTGTACTCTTAGCTGCTGACCCACTCCTCCAGCCCCATTTCCCTTTTAAAACATGTGATCTGTGACCTTAAACTGAACACGCTCAGAAATATGCCCATGCTCACATGCATTTTCATATATGTTGTATAAACTCCCTAAATAAAATTCCCATGCTTCCTTTGTCTGAAGAGGAGAACAGTCAAGAGACTGCAGCAAAAGGACCTGAGTAGAGGCCAGGCCAGCCTGAGCTACACAGCAAGATTCTATCTTCAAAAAATAAAAATATAAAAAAGATTTTCCCTCAAATCCATGGCCCTGGTTAAACTCAGTAAATCACACAACAAAATAAATAGACATGAATGTGAGAAAGGGATTGGGGAAGGAAAGAGGTGGACATGGGGAATAGTAAGAAGGGAGAGATTTGGGGGTGAGGGTGGTCAGTTTGTACTTTACATATGGGAAACTGGCAAAGAACAAACTTGATTTAAAATGGGAAAAGTTAAAACAGCAAAATATCCCAAACCCAATCAACCAAGCAAACAACAACAACAAACCCAAATATATAAAATGAAATGAAGATTACAAGGCATACTGTAAGGCAAACAAAAGCACACTCACAGATTAAGCAAGAAGTGAGTCAGACTCATCATAGAGTGAGTTACTAATAGGAAACGTGAAGTAAATCTTAAAATGTTAAGAGTTCAGTTGCAAAAAATAGACCACACTCAAGATGTAGTGTGATGGTGGCAGTCTGTCAAGATGGGTGATATAGGCTGACAGAAGGAAATTATCTAACATGAACACCATCAGATAAAAACTCTGTAGCAAACCTCAAACCAAAGAAAAGAATATGCCGGCGTATGAGAACCTGGAAGAGAGGTGTCTAAAGGAGACAGGGCTTCATTTGACTCAGGGAAAGAAGAGTGAGGGTCATAGTGGACTTTTTATTTTTCTTTCTCTTTTTCTTTCTTTTTTTTTTTTTTTTTTTTTTTTTTTTGTGTTTTTTTTTTGTTTTTGTTTTTGTTTTGTTTTGTTTTGTTTTTCAAAACAGGGTTTCTCTGTGTAGCATTGGAGCCTTGTCCTGGAACTCACTCTGTAGACCAGGCTGGCCTGGAACTTAGACATCTGCCTGCCTCTGCCTCCTGAGTGCTGGGATTAAAGGTGTGTGCCACCACCACCACCCAGGTAATAGTGAACTCTTTCACTAGAAGCATGCAAGCAAGACAAGTTTCAAGTAAAATAAAATATGTAAAATAACAAGAGAAGAGATATCTAGAATAATTCTATAGCCAACAAAAACAACCCTAGACCCTTCCTTTAGATGTGGAAGCATAACACTTTCTCAGGCAAACAAAACAAAAACTGAAGGAATGCTTTGTCAGCGAAACTGTCTTCAGGAACTTTAAAATGAAAATGAGGTAGGTAAAGAGTCTGAATCTAGGCTGGTGAGATGGCTCAGTGCGTGGAGGCACTTGCTGAGGGAAGCATGGTGATCTGACATGCTCATCTGCATCCACGTAAGGAGAAGACTGACTCTGCAGAGCTGTCCTGTCACCTTCACAGGGGACCAGCACACACACACACACACACACACACACACACACACACACACGCAGCATGCACTAAGTTGTTACTGTGCCCAGGAGCAATAGGGGCACAAATGTTATTGGAGTAACAAACCATTTTCTGATTGGACATACAGCCTTCTGCACAAGACATCATGTATGTCTGGCTCTCTTAACAAGGCCAAGAACAGAGGCCACGTAAGTCAGAGGCCCCACAGGAGAACCTATTGCTACTCTCCCATTAAATGAACATAGAAGTAAACTTACTCCTAAGTACTTATATTTATACATATAGATAAACACACACCTACACCCTCATCAGAGAAACTTCTTCTTGTAGTAAATAGCAATTATCACAGAGACCCACAACTGGTCAACATACAGAGAATAAGGGATTGGGGAGTGTTCTAAATGGGACAACTCTGTCATACTCCTTCCTCCCAAGGCTCAGGGATCATTGAGGAAGAGGGCCTAAGAAAGAGTAAAAGAGTCAGAGAGGCAGTAAATAACTACAACCAAACATCGTTTGTGGGATACAATAGGGAAGTCACACACATGAACTCACAGTGGGTTGTGACAGCATGCACAAGACCAAGCCAGAAAAACATCATAACATGGAAGGAGGAAGTGGTCAGGAATCCCTTCCCTTAGCTGAGGAGCTATTTGTCAGTTTTCTTTGGGAATATGGTCCCTGGGAGGCTACTGTATGAGCTAGTGTATGGACAGGTGCTCCATGGCAGCGCTAACTGGACCCCATGGATTTGAGAAGAAGAGGAGGAGGAAGAGGAAAAGGGGGATGATGAAGGGGAGGAGGATGAAGAGGGAGATGATGAAGAGGAGGGTGAAGAAGAAGAAAAGGAGCAGGAATAGTGGAGATTGGGATGAGGGAGAAATTGAAGGGGACGGGATGAAGGCAGGTGGACATGCCCAAAACATATAATGCTCATGTATGACATTCCCAATTTTGAAAAAGACTCAAAATGATCCAATACAACCATGTTCCTGGTACTTCGAATAAAATATAGATAGACATTTTAACTTGGAAAGAAAAAAATTTAGATCAACATAAAGGATGAACATCGGAGAAGGAACAAATAAAGGCAACTGGAATTAAAATGTATGTTGCAAATTTAGGTGAGAGTGGGCATTTTTAAATAGAAAATAGAAAATCCACCCCATGTTAAAGTGGGTGTCAGGGATCCAGGACCCAGGGTTCACCGTTTCTTCATCTGTTAGTGGGTTGGCTAGGATAACTCACCTCGCTCAGATCTCCTTCCTGTTCACTTATTACTAAAAACAAAGGGGGAAGGGTAGGGCTGGAGCTGAGCTGGTGGCTTCCTAGCTGCACAGACCCCTGGGTCTTTCCCAGCACTCAGAAAGTGGTGTGGTAATAAACACTATAATCCCAGCACTTAGGAGGTAGCAGCAGGGTCAGGGGCTCAAGCACATCTTTGGCTACGTACAAGTTTGAGGGTAGCCTGGGTTCTCAAAAATATAGACTTTGAAACAATCACTCCTAGGCTGGGCCATGGTGGCGCATGCCTTTAATCCCAGCACTTGGGAGGCAGAGGCAGGTGGATCTCTCTGTGAGTTCCAGGCCAGCCTGATCTACAGAGCAAGTTCGAAAACAGGATTATACAGAGAACCCCTGTCTCAAAAAAGAAAAAAAGAAAGAAAAGAAAAGAATCCCTATTTTATCAGAGTAAATTGTACATTGTTTGTAGCAGCTTCTTCTAAATGTAACTAAGTATTCAGTGTGCTACAGGCTCAGCACCCCTCAGCATCCTTCCCAGGCATCCTGTGCAGGGCATCCTGTAAGTAACAAACACAAAGGCTGAAAGAAAGGGCTATTTCATGGTATTGATTCACTGTCAGAGACATCAGGAGACATGCGCCTTTCAACCTGCAGAAGAAATAAGCCACACTGCCTTCCTTGACTAAACAGAGCTCACGATTAGTTTGTGATTGCCTCCAGATCTGTCGATAGGCAGGCATTTCTTCCCCGACTAGATGTCGATACATTTCTGGGCTCAGTGGACATTCCCCTGAACTACAATTTCCCTGTCGGTCAAAAGTTTTGTTCTTCTAGAGTATTGCTTAAGTCTCAGCATTCATTAAAAGAGAAAAACAAACCACAGTGGGGCCCAGAGCCCTGTGGAAATGACCTGCCCCCTTAGAAATGAAAAGTGGATTTGACTTCAGGTGAAAGCTAAGAAGAAAACCCCCTAATGCCTCCCTTGCAACAGTGCCCCCACCACCAACTTCCTTCCCAGCCTTTCTCGAGCTAACCCTTGCAATAAGAAATTCCCACGGCAGTTCTAGCCCAAAGGTTGATTTTCTACTTTAAAACCACCTGCCTGCTGGCAGACAGACAGGAATGCTTTAAGCCTACTCCAGCAGTTATTTCTTTCCATTCCTTTTTTTTTTTTTTTTTTTTTTTTTTCCCCACTGGGAAATTAAGTGGCATCAAAATCAATGCTTCACTTTAAAGGCAAAGGGACTGGATGGCCAGATATCAATGTATTCCCTTCTGGATTAGACACTGCTTCAGAGCATAGCTGGCCAAAGGACTTTCCACAGACAGGCCCTGATGAGTTGGATGCAGGCATTAGCTGGAACAAAGGGCGGAAGCTAATGAGCAACTCTATGCTTCCTAGGGTTAGGAAAGATTTCAAGAGAAAATGTAAGCAGTGGCTCCCAGTGCTGATTTGTCCAAGTGCTGCAAACCAAGAGCCCCCAGGCCCACAGAAGTGAAAGCACATATTGGCTTCAGATAGTGGCATGGAACTGGGCAGAGGCCAATATCTGGGGCTAGGGTCAGCTGCCCCCTGCTACCCCAAGAGCACCCAGAGCCCTGGGCTTTGGGAGATGCTTGGGACAGAGTGCAGTTTCTTCTTACAGGGTAAAAAGTAACTATTTTTCTATTTTGTGGTACTAGGATTTGAACGCATGGCTTTGCAAATGTGACGCAATCACTCTAACGCTAACTATATCCCAGCCCCAAAGGTGATTTTAAGCTGCTTTTCAGCAGCTGTCACTAGTTAAGACACTAGGCTCCAGGTTTCATGTGAAGAAATGATTACCTTCCCATTGGTTTGCCAGCTGGGAATGTGCCGTTTCTCTGACTGAGACAAAAGATTCTGTCTGCCCTGGATCCTGGTGAGCCCCTGCATTCTAAACACAACCCAA